TGTTCTAGTAATAGTTAAACAACAGTAGTGGGGTTCCATAAAGCTGCATTTCTAATTTAAAAACAATATGCAAAACATCTCTTGTCTATAGTACCACGATACAAAGCTTACATAAAAACTTTAAAGACAGGATTGCAATATGCTACTAAGTTATGCATTTGGCTTAAGTCAATTTAGTCATATAAAAAGAAGCAAGACCAGGGATCTCAGTCTAAATGAGTATAGGTAGTCCTCAACTTATGACCACAATTGAGCCCAAAATTTATGTTGCTAAGTGAGTTTTGCCTCATTTTACAACTTTTTTTGCCATAGTTGTTAAGTGAATCACTGCAGTTGTTAAATTAGTAACATGGTTAAGTGAATCTGGCTTTCTGATTGACTTTGCTCATCAGAAGGTCACAAAAGGGGATCACATGACCCTGGAACACTGCAACTGTCATAAATATGAGCCAGTTGCCAAGCATCTGAATTTTGATCATGTGACCATGAGGATGCAGCAACCGTCATAAGTGCAATAAAAGGTCATGAGTCACTTTTTTGGTGGTGTTGTAACTCTAAACGGTCACTAAATGAACTATTGTAGGTCGAGGACTATCTGTAATGATTAAGTGGCAGTGCTTTAGAAATTAGGCAATAATTTCATTTTAGTCTTTATATTCTCTTACTTTGCTACAACTCTGGTTTGTGATTTATTTTAAATGGTTGAAAGTCCAGTTTATTTGTCATTAAAACAAAAATATATTAGCAATTCTTAAATATCCAGAAATTTTAATAGGTTTCATTTGAATTATTTTTGGTCCTCTGCCTTTGTCATACTGAAATTCTATTTGCTTTCCAGTTTATCCCTTTCTCCAGAAACCACTCAAATTCATAAATCATTCTGTAAGATTTGTAATTAACACCTTGGATTATCCAACTGCAGCAAATAAAAATTTTCTAGGCCACCAGCAAAGGCTTGCTAAAGGCATTAACACTATTTACTCATTCTCCATATTGACTGAGAAACTTCATTTGTCTGTCATGACAAATCTGAACTACAAAGAAACTTAATGTTGCCTCATGAAAATAGCTGTGGAATCTGGCATGAGGAAAATACCAGATCAAATGGGTTTGATGAGTCATTTCCCACTTCTTTCCGACCTTAAATTCATTCAGTTCACTGATGTTTTTAGTTTTTCTCTCAAACACTATTTCTGTTTGTTGACTTAGAGTCAGAGGTAACTAGGGACATGTTAGGGTTTGCTCAGTTGTAACACAGTTGCATTGCATATGTTTATTTGTATGCATAGCATATACAACTTCGGCTCATATACATATTTTCCTTGCATCTGTTCTTGCTTTGCACATAGGCTTTCTCTTTACTCTGGAAATAATGATTATTGTATCCATTCCTCTTCTGTGAATTGCATCTACCAAATCAATGGCTGAATTAACTTTTCAAGTAGGAAAATAGCACTGAACATGTTAAACATGTGTTTCTCTTGCTTTTAAATAATCAAAACATTTCAAACCAATTGTACCTACCAAAAAGCCTAGCTGACAATATAATATTATATTTTGTATTCTTAAAATTTGAGTAGTGTATGTTTAGTTAATGGTATATTTAGTTAATAGTGTATTTGAAGGATTGGCACTTCTTATTTCAGTTTTCTGATGTAAGAAGTTTTTTTTCAGCAGTTTTGTGTTTCTAAATTATAATTGTCAATTTTACCCAAAATAAAATAACCATTTTGTATATTTTTTTCGGAATTAGTAAAGAATTAGGAAATTGCAATAAATTGCAATTTATTTATTAGTAGTATAGCTTTTTTGAAGAGTATTAAACTAACTTTTTTCTATGCCAATTAGACATTAATAACATGCATTGTTTGTTTATCTCTATTTTTATATAGTAGAGATAAATGTATACAGTAGGTACTAGATTTCTATGTATGAATAATCACATGCAAAGCACTTAAAAGTGAAAGTGACAACTTGTCTCATTGTCTTTAAAATTAACATAGTTCATTACTGTTAAGAAAGTACTGTTTCTTCTTCAGAAAAATGAAGTATAGTAACTTTTTAAAAAAATGTTCCATTCTACATTATTGCCTTTTTTAAAGCTATTTTATGTTGGAAATATGTTTTTACTTGAATCATTTTATGATACAATAATTCCTTCATTATTATTGTCCACAAAAATTATTCCAGAGTTAGGGAATTCCTGTGTAGCATGTGATAATCCATTGTTTTAAGTCTACTTGCTTCTTTTGACTATGTTGCATAGAGAAATACAATAAAACAGTCTCAATGTTAAGAAATTTTTGCAGCCGTATCTTTTGCATTTGTTGAATAACTTTACATCATTACATCCATGGACCAGCACTGGATTGCAACATGCCAGAAATCGGGCCGCATAAACAAACAAAGCCCCATCTTCAGGATGCAGGCAGCACACGAAACCATGCCCTCTCCAGTCTGCAGAAAAATCTCTCTCCACGGAACTGGTCCCTGGTTCCCAAAAGGCTGGGGGCGCTGTTTTAGATTGCTGTTTTATATCCAGTTAGATCATACCCATTCACTCTATATCAGTATTGGTATATAGACAGAGTTGCTTCCCATAGTTTCAAACTGGATTCTTTCCCAGTAGTGCTTAATTAAACCCAAAGCCTTGGGCATTCAAAGCAGAAAGAAATTCATCACATCAGGGAACGGAAGAACAATCATGGACAATTCTATAGATGTGCTCTTTCCTGTACCATTTTTGTGCCACCCTGACCTCTAGGTACAGGGCACGGCAGGGCTGTGGAGCACTGGGTGGCAGGGGGAAACGGAGTTTTGTGTTGTGCTCTTGTGCTGGCTGGCTGTACTATGAGGCTTGAAGCAGTATTTTTCAGTGGCAGCATGGGGATGAAGTAGAGGCCTGGGACAGTGGCAGTTAGCTGACTCTACTTCAGCCCCAGCCTTACCAAGGAGTGCTGCTGTGCATGATGGCTAAAAGGACATAGATAGAGTGAAGATAGGTGGAGGAGTTGAGGCCTGTGGCTTCTGTGGTCATTAATGTGGGTAGGTTGCCAAAGGCCCAAATTTTGATCATTCATTGCAGTGGCTGCAGTTTTGGAGATCAGTTGTAAATCCCTTCATTCAGGACTGCTGCTACTGAAACAGCCTTTGAACTAATAGTCATAAATCAAAGATTATCAGTATGCAATTACTGGATTATCTTGAAGGCTGGCATAATATATAATCTTTCTACTACTATCTTTTTTTCGCTACTTGTTTAAAACAATTAAACAGGCAGTCCTCAACTTACGACCAGTTGTTTTACAACTGTTTGGAGTTAGGATGGCTTCAGAATGGGTGCTTTATGGCATAAAACAGTTCTGGGCATTGCAAAATGTTTACCACATGATTGGCTAACCTTTAGAGCCACAATTTGTGACTCTTTTTTTGCCCCCATTTTTGTCATTTTCCAGCAAAAAACCCATTCAGAAAAATGGCTTTGCTTAACAACTATGCTGTTTGCCTAACAACTACCTGTTTCACTTAATGATTTGCTGAAAAGCCATCATGAAAAATGTCAGAAAAACAGATACAGTCACTTGATATTTTGATTTTATGACTGTTACAACCTACAACTAGATTTCAAAAGGCCATCAGGTTGGGGTCATCTTCAGTTCTCAAGAGAGAATGTTCCAGAGGGCAAGGGCAATAGCAGAGAAGGCATGTTTCCTAGTCCCTGCCAGCCAGCATTCCTTGACTGGGGAATTGTTGCTTCTAGAAAGACTAGTTTCATTTGCTTTGAGTTCTGAGAACAAATTTGTGTTCATTTCAGTAACTGAATAATAGATCCAAACAGCAGCAGATTTGTCTGGTAACTAGACCTGACATGGTTAATTGTTTTTGTTTGCTTTGTTTCATGTTTTCTTTTGAGATTAGATAAATGGAAACAAGGTTATCTCATACATATTTATGAAAGGAATAGAAAACATTTTCTATTTTATATTAAGGTTGAATTATCCAGCAAAGTTGGGGATTGGGTAGCACTACTCTTACTCATTGTAGAGACTGGAATTTTGTCTTACAACTGCATCATTTGTAGTGTCTAAGACTTGCAAACCTCCGATTGAATATACTGGTTTGATTTCCCTAAGACTGTATATAATGTCTGCTGTAGAAATTAAATAAATATGTCAAAAAGCTTTTGAAATAGAATTTTCAGTAATAGGAAAGTATGAATTGCAAAATAAAAGTGTGTTTTTGACTAATAGTCTACGTTTATATACACAGTTTTAATATGAGTATAGTATAATGAGTGGTCAAGTTGTTCATCTTGGAATAAATCAAATAGTATAGTTTAAAACCATACCTTTTAACTTTGAAATGATATACTCTGTAGTTTAAAGCTGCAAAAAATGGTATAGTGATACACGAGCATTTTTACTAAAATGTACCGTATATGCCGGCGTATTAGGCGACCCGGCGTTTAAGACGACCCCCGTCTTTATCGCCAAGCCGCATTCCTAGAACGTTGTCTTATACGCCGGAAACTACCAGTATTTCCGGCGTATAAGACGACTCGGCGTAGAAGATGACCCCCGTCTTTGGTGCTGAGTTTAGCGCTTCCGGAAGTCATCTTATACGCCGGCATATACGGTAATGAATTTGTAAGAAATAGTAAATGTATTGTTACATCTTATTTTATTCCATATCTATCATTCCTTCATTAACACCTTTAGACATAGTCTGTACATAAAAGTAGACACCATTACTGACCATATTGATATTGTGATTACTAATTTCTGGATCCATTTTTCAAGGATCCTCTTTAATATTTCCAATGTTTTAATATTTTTTGTCATTTTGTAATTTCCAATATTAATTGACATCAAAAACAAAGTTGTATTTTTCTTCTGCTTAAAATTTAAGCTTATAATTAATTTTTCTTTTGTTCAGAGATGAAAATATTCACCTAAAGAAGACTTGGCAAACTTATTATTCCAAAGATCTCTAATAGCTTTAAGATGGTTAACAGGCATTTTCTGAAAGTGATTAGAAAGTAAGATTTGTGAACTTAATGTCCTTTAAAAATCTCTGCTACGAAAAGGGCTGATCCCATCATCTCCTGGAAAACTGCTGTCCTGCAGCCTCGTCATGATGAGCACATGTGAGCAATCTCCCATCTTGTCCTTAGCTAAAATGGTTACAAGGAACTGGTTTACTCTTCTGTCCTTGGGCTTTGCCACAGTTGTTAGTTTGCCAATTTCCCCCAGAAGTTCCTGTGTCAAATTTATTATTGAAATATGAAGTTTTTGGGGGCATTGAGTAATACTCCAACAATTGAAATAGTCTGTTTTATGCAGAAAGCATCTAAAACTGTATATTGTTTCCAATAGGAAGTATAAGGTATCCTACTTACCATTTACAAAGTTAATTCGGTATATTTTGTGGGAATATATGCTTTAGTGTTAATTAGTAAAAATAAGATTCAGAAAGAAAATTGGTTGGAAAAGAAATCCTGGCTTTAGAATTTGTTTCAGTCTTATTAGAAATCATTGTCTCAAACTGTTGAGCTATACAATGTTGCCAGCAATTATATAAAAGCAATTCAACCTGGTTTATTTATTTATTTATTTATTTATTTATTTATTTATGAGACTTATATACCGCTTTAAGTGCAAGCACTCTCCAAGCGGTGTATACCAGTAAGCAATGTATATATATATTTACATTGCCCCCAACAATCTGGGTCCTCATTTTACCTACCCCGGAAGGATGGAAGGCTGACTCAACCTTGAGCCGGTGAGCTTTGAACCGCTGACCTGCTGAACACAGTCAGCTAAAGTGGCCTGCAGTACTGCACTCTAACTGCTGCGCCACCTCGGCTCATTGTTAGATTTGGTTGTTAGATTTTCAACAATTTTTAGAAAATGCCCCTTGTAACAATCAATATACTGCAGTAAAATACTAGTAGTTACTTATAGCAGTTTTTTAAAGTATAATGTAGGTATGAATATATTGTAAGATTGCAAAACTTGGGTAAATAGTGTTGTAAATTATACCTGAGTCAAAAGGTTTGGCACCAATGAATCCTTTCAGGCTAGCAGTATATGAACTTAATAGTATTTTGAATATTATTAACTCTTGGCTGTTACCTACAATGTACTCAAAAACACTAAGTGTAATATTTTAAGAAAGTCATAGATACTGAAATCTAGCTGAATGCTTGAATCAAATTCTTGTTTTAAAACCTTGTTGATCCAATATTTTAAATTTTGAGAATGTGTCTGTTATGAATTATTTCATAAACTTCCATTTCAGAAGTTGACAAATAACAAACTCGAAGTGTGTGAGACAAAATAACATGTTTTACAATTTTCAGAAAATTCATATTGTCTTCCTTGATAGGTGTCCTTCAGGAAATATCTTCCTTGATATTTCCACAATACTGAGAGACAATATAACTGCAATCAATATGTCAAGCATAGAAGATATATAAAAATGCGAAGTGTTATTTTATAACTTTTGCAATTTTTCAATCATAGTTTATTAAATGTTTCTTTTAACTGCAATAAAATTCAAACTGAAAACAACCTACAGTAAATGCCTTTTAGACGTCACTGCTAGTATAATTCTGTACATGGTTTACTTGGAAATGAGTCCCACTGAGTTTGGTTAACATTTTTCCTAGTAATGATGATCCAGGTAGAAGAATGAAATGTGTTACTTAAACAGTATTTGAGGAAATGCATATAGTTAACAGCTTCCATTTATACTTGTAGGGGCTAAAAAACTGATGCATCTGATGACACAGATTTGAAATTAATCTTTTAAAATGTGAAATATATATGTGTATGCATGGTCAGCTACTTTCTGCATTTTATTATCAATTTTCATTACCTAAACATCATGCTAGTACTTTGCAGCATATTTTTGCATTTTTAGCAAAATGATTCAGTAACTCAAAATTGAGTTTTTGATACTGTACTTTATCTAGAGACCTAAATTAATTGATTGGAATTACCAAAAAGTCATCTGTTAAAAAATGTTTTAAACAAAAAATTATATTGTATTTTTAGGGCAATCAGTGATTATGACGACTGAAGGTGGTTCAGATACTGAAGTAAAAGAATCAGAGAAGCTGAGGACTAACACAGTAAGTGAAAATGCTGGGGATGCACCAGAGAGTCAAGAAGATCAGAAACAAATAGAAGAAGGTTCTCCTGTCCTTCCAACTACAGCTACCCAAAAAAGCCCTAAAAGCTCAGGTGGAAAGGGCATTTCTCGTTTTATCCCCCCCTGGCTTAAGAAACAAAAATCATACAGCATATCAGAACCCAAAGATGAAACTAAGAAAAGAGAGCATCTAGCATCAGAAGAAGAAACAGCAGTGGAGGAAGGAGAATGTCGTCTTTCAGAAGAAGAAGCTCGATCTAAAGGAAAATTATCGGACATTTCTGAGAATCTTCAAGAAGCTGAAGTGGGTGGTGATAAAGAAGAAAAACATGTTGAGTCACAGGT